CTGAATTGATACCCAGAAGTCTATTCAGTCTATTAGAAGAGAACAAAAGGACATGGGTAATGCTGAGCTGTGTCTCCTCCAGATTGTCATAGAAGACTTCTCTGGTATCGTGACTCCTCTCTGCTATCGTGGCCTTTTAACTGTTAAGTCCACCTCTGCTTAAATCTTAGACATGTCCTTTTCCAGTAATACTTGTGCTCTTGGCATTCTCTTTAATATTTACTTTTATCTCTTTAAAGTTATGAACAACACCCAAATTGACTCCAGCCAAATATCTCGACTAAGCTCCAAGCTTCAAGCTGATATCCACATGCCTGCTTGAAACTTCCTCCAGGATTTCTACAGATATCTCAGATTCTACATATTCAACACAAACTCCTGCTTCTTCCTTTCAAACCTGCTTCCAAAGCCTTTCTCGGTTAGTTGATGAAAACTTCATTTTAGATATGCTTAGATCTAAATCCTTGGGTTCATATTGACTTTTTAATGAGTGAGATTCTCTTTCCGTGATGGGAATATTTGTGTCCAGTGTTGAGGTTATCACCCCATCTCAACATGAAGTTACTTGGAGAGTTACTTGAATTAATACCCAGAAGTCTATTCAGTCTATTAGAAGAGAACAAAAGGACATGAGTAATGCTGAGCTGTGTCTCCTCCAGACAGTCATAGAAGTCTTTTTTTTTTTCATCTGGTATGTCTGTTGACATTCTTCAAACTAGATAAATCTCAAGTCACTCCACTTCTTTCATCTTGATCTGTACCACCATCATGATATCTTTTGCTCAGGTTATCACATTGACTTTTTAACAGGCCCAATTTCCAATAGGGAGAAAAAATTATGTTTTCTTTCTTTTATTTTTTTTTGATTTCTGGGTTATACCCAGCCAATGCTCAGGAGTTACTCCTGGCTCTGCACTCAGGAATCACTCCTGGCAGTGCTTGGGAGACCATATGGAATGCTGGGAATCGAACCCGGGTTGGCCGTGTGCAAGGCAAACGCCCTACCCGCTATGCTATTGTTCCAGCCCCCCAAATTATATTTTCTAAACATAGGGGAGTTCATGTTACAGTTCTGCTCATAACCTTCCAAAGGCTGCCCTCATGTCTCTGACATCGTGTCCTACCATTCTCCCCTGTGTTCACTCTGCTCCAATCAGCCTCTAAGCTTGCTTGCTTTCCTGGAATGCCCCAAACACACTAATTCAGATGTTGGTATTCTTCTTTCCAGGAAGCTTTTTCCTCCTTTGTGTCTATTTTATTTAATTTCTCATCTCTTCAGGAACTCTGCTCAAACCTCAGTGAGCCATTTCCCACCAGAGAACCAGTGCTTGTTTCCTGCCCCCACTTCTCTTCTCATGCTGCGTTCTCTTTGCCTCACCACTCTCTAATTTTCACATGCTCTCTAGTTTTATTTATTTGGATTCTCTTATGCTAGAATGTTAGTTCTACACAGGCAGAGAGTGGTTTCTGTTTACTATGTGCTCCCGGGACCTAGGACAGAGCCTGATAATAAATGTTTATTGAATGAATAAATGAATGAGTATTCATGCCTTCCTCTGAAAGTGTATCTCTCCAGCAGCCAATATATCTTTCAATAGAACAGAGTGTTTTTGTTTCTATTTCTTGTTGGATAAACATCCACGTTATGATACCCTTTCCAGCTGAATCCAATTTTTTGATTGCTTCAAAAATTTACATCAGTGGCCACATGGAGGCAGTTGGAGAGAAGGAGGTGGATAGAGAAAAGTGGGAGGAACAAGATTTTGGAATCATGGAAGGAAACTTCTGTATTGTGGCTCAGATCCATTGGATGCAGAAATAGAACACATGGTGCCTTGCATCACTGTCTGATAAAATAATCCCCCGGAGAGAGTAGCACTGCTGAGGAAAAATGTTCGGAGAATCCAGGCTGGCAGTTTGCCTGAATCAGGCAGATACATGTACTCTGGGCTCTTGGGCCAAAAAACACACTCTTCACCCTCCCCAGGAACTCTTCTTTCTGCTCAAAGGTTTTAAGTTTATTCTGCATTACTGCTTCTTAACTGCAGTTACATAATTTATACCTATTGATTTGGATACCTTCTAACCTTATTTTAAGCTCCAGGGGGTACTCAGGCCTCTATAGCTCCCAAGAAGGTAACAGTGAACTCCAAGTATAGGTGTTAGAACCTAGCAATATTTCAGGGAAATTCTCTTCCCGTTTTCATTGCATTTTGGTACCATTTATTTATTTTGACTGAGGTCTTATTAGCTTATAAGAGTATAAAGTTTATATATTTAAGGATAAAATATTACCATGCTTCTACCAAACTCATTAGATTGTTTATTAGAAAATATTAAAAAGTTGGGGCCTGAAGATTAGGCTCATTGGCACACTGAGCACTTGCCTTGTGTGTGTGAGGCCTGGGATTAATACTTTTTTTTTTAGGTCACACCCGGTGATGCTCAGGGGTTACTCCGGGATCTGCACTCAGGAATTACTCCTGGCGGTGCTCGGAGGACCATATGGGATGCTGGGAATCAAACCCAGGTCAGTCGTGTGCAAGGCAAATGCCCTGTACTATTGCTCCAGCCCCCTAATACCTGTTTTTTTTTTAAATGTTCAACAACACTTTTTTTATTTTATTTTTATTTTATTTTTATTAGTGAGACATCATGAGGTGCAGTTGTAGACTTACAAATTTTTGTACTTGGGTTTCAATTATGCATTGATCAAATACCCATCCCTCCACCAGTGCCCATTTCCCACCACCACGGGTCTCAGTATCCCTCTCACCCCCCATCCCCCCCATCTCACCCTGCCTCTGTGGCAGGGCATTCCCTTTTATTCTCTCTCTCTTATTGGGTGTTGTGGTTTGCAAATGAGGCAACGGGTGACAATCATGTTTGGTCTATAGTCTACTTTCAGCATGCTTCTCCCATCCTGGGAGGATCCTCCCAACACCCTTTATTTGGTGTTCCCTTCTCTATCTAAGCTCCCTTTCCCCCTAGCATATGTGGTTGGCCTCCAAACCATGGAGTAAAATTCCTGCCTAATACCTGTTTTTTAACCACAAAAAAGGGAAGTGCTAGTGGCTGAAGCAATAGCACAGCAGGTAGGACACTTGTTTGCCTTGCACACAGTCAACATGGTTTCAATCCCTGGCACCCCCTGAGCACTCCCAGGAGTGATTACTGAGTGAAGAACCAAGAGTAAACCCTTAATGTGGAACCTCAAACAAACAAAAAATTAAAATGCTTTAAAATCAAACTATGGGGCTGGAGCACTAGTACAATGGGTAGGGCATTTGCCTTGCATGCAGCTGACCTAGGTTAGATTCCCTGCATCCCATATGGTCTCCTGAGCACCGCCAGGAGTAATTCCTGAGTGCATGAACCAGGAGTAACTCCTGTGCATTGCCAGGTGTGACCCAAAAAGCAAAAATAAATAAATAAATAAATAAATGAATGAATAAAATCAAAATATGCATTGGGCTATAACTGACCTTATCAAGTGGTAGAAGACTTGTTTTGCTTGTTCTTTAAAAAACAAAAAATTAAACTTTTAAAATATGTATTATTGTTTCTCAAAACATTTGTCCCAAGCAGCTCCATGCCCTGAATTAAAAGAAAAAAATTGACATGAATGTGAAAACAGCAAAGGTTTGAGTTACTCTTTGTCTGTTCATTAAAATTAGTCCAGGAAGCCAAATGAATGAAATTCTGCATTTAATTGGTTCTCCCAGTTTGAAAGGAAAAAAGTAGGGGTTCAGGGGCCATAGAGATAGTACAGCAGGTGGGACATTTGCCTTGCATATGACTGAGCTGGGTTTAATCCCCGGCACCCAATATGCCTTCCCGAGTAATACCAGGTTTGGCCTAAAAACAAAACAAACTCCCCCCAAATAGGGGTTAAAATAGTTTTCAATATGACATAGCTCCAACTCCACATTGCAGACCCTAGATGTCTCTGATGGAAGTTTATTGGAGTCATTTTTTTAAAACCCCAAATGCCCTCGACAGTTCCATTAACTCCATTGAGGTCATCTGTGAGTGATGGGTAAAGAAATATAAATTTACGCTTGATTTAGCTGAGGCTTTTGTTCTCTTTCTTGGTCTGTGAGACTCAATGAATGTGGCTAGCCTTCAGCTTTAAATGAGGCACTTTTTAAAACAACTCACGGATGTCCATCTGAGGGGTTGCAGCCTTAAAGCAGCAAGAGGTATAATTTCTGTGTTTTTTCCACTGCGTTTCACCACTTATCTAAGGAACACATAAGATTTCTGACATCTGGAAAGTTCAATAATCCTGATGGAGCAACAAAATGGTGAGTTGATTATGTGGAAGGCATCATGCTCATGGCTCACACTTCTAGCATCTAACCTTTATGATTGAGGAAGGAGTTTACCAGGAGACCTGGAGGTACTGGATTCCACATGAAGCCATGTGGTGGGAGGCAGGGTCAGAAAGGAATGGGGCACAGAAACAGAGGACCTGACCCATGAACCACATAGAACATTTGTAGCTGAAGATCCAAGGAATAGTGAGATGTCCAGGACTTTTGAAGACATGTGCTACCTAGACCCAAAGCAAAGGAGAACTCCTCACATGGGGTTATATTTTCTGCTCTTATAAACCAAGTCTTTGCCTGAAGTTGGTTTCTCAGGGAGAACTGGCAGCAGTAAGGTCTAATTGCTCCCTCAACTCATCCCACCCTCCAGTACACAGAAATCGGATGTCAAGCAAAACCTTTTTGATCCTTTGTGGAAAGGGTACTGGAGGTCTCAAGTGCCACATACTTTCTTTTCCCATTCTTTCACTTGACTCGAGACCCTCTGCTTTGGCCGAAGGAGTTGTTCCTTTTCTTTCCCATGGTTGTCCTGCCTTATAACTCTTCAGAATTCACTCCCAATCAGGTCAAGAAACAGATGTAGCCATGATGTATTATCTCACTGAGAGACAACGCATGACCCAGACTGAACGACTATTTCCAAACAAAGACTTGACTCATGGTTATACGCAGTCATCTGTTTTATTTTAAAACATGTCTACACTGTATTGAGCACCAACACAGATGTGACCAAGAAACCCACAGTCCCGTCCCAGCAGGCAGTGAGTGGGTCCAGTGTATGACTTGGGATGAACTATTATTTTTCACAACAAGGGGCGGGGCTGGGGTGTGACAAATCAGAAAGATGAAATGAACATTATTCCTAACAACTGTTCAGGAATCTGATGAAACACAAGGTTATTTAACTCAGACGATTCTTCTAAACCCCATCTCTGAATCGGTTATATTCAAATATGGTACTTGGGTTGGAGGTCCAGGTGGACGAAGGTCACCCAAGGACATACAACATCCACTTATTACTGCACAAAGTGCAAAATGGGAGGAACAGACAATACTTTCTAACTTGTCTTATATTCTACTCTTGTAGCATAAACCACAAAAATTTAGAAGTTATCAGATTTACATAGCCACAATCATGACAAAGCATCTGCTCAATGGAAAAACTTGCTGTTTAGGAAAAAGAATTCGATTGATCTCTGGTGACAAGGAGAAGGGTTGCACTGGGTTGGATGGTACCAATACAGAACAGCAGCGTGTGCTGCTTTATTTAGATCTTTTTAATTATGACTCCCCCGAAATGCGTGGCCTATCATTTAGACCGGGAATACCTTTTATTTTAAAATCAAGTTTCTAAATGTAGCTGCTATAAAAAGTTAGTATTTTACAAATTTATTTTTGCTTCCCAGATCTTTTCTCTGTGGCAAGAAGTGAATGTCTAAAAACTAGTAGATTCTATCCCTCATGCTAGAGGCAAGCATCGTTTGGGGACTGTGTGGGGACCACCATGGCTCTAGGTTTTTGAAACACTTGTGCATTTGTGACAATATGGGTCTCTGACAATTTCCTTGGCATTTGGGACTGAGCTGTCCACATTCTAGAACAAAATATAAAGGACTTACATCATTGGAAAGAGGACCAGCGAGCAAACCTCTGAATCATCAAATCATCATTGGAGAAGGCAGTAAAGCAAGTCTAGAGACCAATTTATGGCCTTATTGTGGAAACAAAAAGTTTCCTCCAAAGTATCAATTTCCTGTTTATGGCCCAAAATGGATGCCTTTGAAGTGATTTATGCTGACCAATGGAAGACAGTTGCTCATTCTATATTATCCAAGTTTAGATTTTTCTGCTTGATTATTTACACCAAATGAGACTTCAAAAATAGAGTAAACGCGACTGGAATGTGTACATTTCAAGAGATCAGATATTGCAAAAATGCTTATGCCATTTACTGACAAAGCACTAGACTCAAGGACACTCTATAAATATTTTTCAGATTCCCTTGCATTTTAACAATAACAGAATGGTCAGAATGAAGACATGATTAAACATTGATTGAATTATATTGTCTAATCTTAGTTATAAATCAATTTACAGTTTTGCCCCTTTTCTATGCATTTTGCCTTTTAAATCATCTTTTATAAAATTTTTATTTAAAAAAATTTCAAAAGACAAATGCTGAGAGGAGCAAGTCTGGAGAATCATCTTTTCTTCGGTTGCTTTTGGCAAGAGGAGGGATCACCATGGATTTTGAGGGAGGGGCAAGCATTTCCATGGGTCATCTTCTCCCACATTCTCAGGGATGAGGAGAGTTGAAGAAAATGTTTTTTTAAATATGTTGGTTGGAGGGTACAATCCTTCAGTTCTTTAGGGCCTGTGAAAACAGAGAAAGGTAATTGTCACTTCTTTTACCAGCATTGTGAATGATAATTCTGTGAGTCAAAGTTCCTATTGTCCTTGGTTTAAGTCCTCCAGTTGGGGTTGGAGAAATGGCTCAAGGGGCTGGAGCACATGTTTTGTAGATGGGAGGTTCAGGTCCAATTCCTAGCACTTCATGGTTCCCTGAACACTTTGCAGAGTAACCTTTGCGCACAGAACTAGAATACCTGAATACCACCACGTGTGATCCCAAAACAAAACAAAACAAAACAAAACAAAACAAAGTAAAATGTCTTCCAGCTCTGGGTCCTGATTTTCTCTTCTCCTTTTTCTTCCTCCACACCTGGTCCTCACAAAACTGGGTTCATATTTCCCAGGAATTTCCAAATACAGACATCTGTGATGGTAGTTGTATTCCCTAGGCACCTCCACACTAGTGGCATAGCATATATTATCTGTCTTCTTCCCATTCTCCTCCCTCCCAATACCAATCACATCATCAACTCCTCAAGAGAAGTAAGGGGGTTTCTTCTGACTGAATTTGAATCATCTGAATTCTTAAGAAACTCCCTTCATCACTATGTTGGAAGCAGTGTGTTGTGTGTGTGTGTGTGTGTGTGTGTGTGTATGTGTGTGTGTAAGAGGGAGGAGAGAAGGAACTTAAATGAAAAGACCCCATCACCAGCAGAACTTATCATGAAAATGGAGCCTAGGTTCTGCAAAAGTTACTCAGGGATCAGGATGATTAAGTATCAGTTTAAACTTGGTTGGGATTTTCCATCAAGTCCAGCTGGCTGACAAATTAAGACTAGAGGTCAAATTGGGCAGATTTCAATAGAAGTCAGTGAAAGAGCCTTGTCTGACTAATTCAGACACTTTACTTGGAAACTTCTAAGGCCCAAGTCGATACCCACTCGTCTATAAAAACTTCAGAAACTTACGGAGGAAGGGGGCTTCAGAACATGATCTTTACTAGAATTTTCTATCAGTCCCAATATTTAAGCACTAGGAAGGACAACTTTCATTTCCCTACCATAAGTATCTAAGTGATTTACTTACGAGTACCTTCCTGACATTTTTCTCACAACCACAAAGATGATGCCACCAATAAATCCAATGGCTAGTAAGACCCCAACTATGATTCCAATCAGGGTTGCTGTCGCCAAGCCATCTAAATGAGAGGAGAAAAAACATAAGCCTCAGATAAATAATAATTTTGAATGAAATGTTACATTCATTACAAACAACATCAATGGCCCACATAAATAGAAAATAATGTTCTTTGTGGTTTTTCCTGAATCCAGGGAAAGTTCTCTTATAAGAAGAGAAACTCTGGGTCAGTCTAGTAGCAATTTATGAATGAAGTGATTTCTGAATCTCAGAGTCTATCAGTATAGTATTTATACTGGAAACTTAACCATTCACTATTAAAATTAGCCCTTACTTTCATTATTCATAAAAAAATATATTGTGATAGGATACCATTTCCCATGACTTATGAAGTTAATGGACTCATTGTGGTTTACCCATTTTCAAACACAGGTAAGTTCTCTCTTTGTTATACAGTAGGTTAAAAAAAAAAAAAACCTATCCTCAGAGGGTTTTGTAGTCTGCTTTTCTTATTCATCACTGTATTAGTGTCTTCCCGTTCATCGATTTTACTCGAGCGGGCTCAGTAACGTCTCCATTTTGAGACTTGTTGTTACTGTGTTTGGCATATTGAGTATGTCACGGGGAGCCTGCCAGGCTTTGGCCCGGGTGAGATACTCTTGGTAGCTTGCAGTGCTCTCTGAGAAGGGTGGAGTAATCAAACTGGGCTTGGCTGAGCTGGCTGCGTGCAAGGCAAATGCCCTACCATTGTGCTATCACTCCAGCCCAAAATATAAGGTTAATAAATATAAAATTCAAAGAAACCTTTTTAATTCCTCAAGGAATATTTTCATGCCAAAATCAAGCTTACCTTTCTCAACAATCGTCTCTGTCTCTTCATCCACTTTCTCTGTAAAGAGAAAAATGTAGTGATAGACTTAATAGGATTTAATAGCTATAATTTGATAATTGGCAAAAGATTAATTTACCCTAGTTGGAAGGTAGCAAAACACAAAGCAAAAAGGATAATTTCTCAAACAAATGGAATCAGGGGATTTTTAAAAAGCAAGCTCTGACATGATCCTGTTTTCAAAATCATTATTACTGAATACTTCTATACACCTATGAGTCCAGAGTACTTTTGTGTATGATAATGTCTTCTCACCTACTTTGGAAAGGAATCTAAACTACAGAGAACTTAAATAAATGGTCAGAGGTTAAGGTAACAAAAGAATCTAAGGTTGATGATTCTTTCAAATCAAGGAAACAGAAAATTCACTTATGATGATAAGGTTTACTTTGAAAGAGTTTTCATTTTGAAAGCAATACTGTAATATTGTACTATATGAGAAACATACAGATGTTTAAAACTTTTTTTCAAGCAACCTAATTTTTCAAGACCTTAACATCTCAAGGTAGAATTTATCTAGTTGATTGATGAAGGAAAATTCAAGCTGTGTTTATTAGACAATGAATATGGGCTCTTTTCTAGAATCTTAGTATACAACAGAAAAATACCACCAATTCTTGGCAACTTTCCTAGTCAATGGTGAAAACAGCCCATCATTATTAACAATATGTTTAGTTTTTCCAATGGCTGGGCTGAAAAGAAACCATACTCTTTGCATCATATCTCTTTCAAAAAGGGGAATCTTTTTTAAAAAAAATTTTATTAGTGAAACACCATGAGGTACAGTTGTAGACTTACAAATTTTTGTGCTTTAATTATACAATGATCAAATACCCATCCCTCCACTAGTGCTCATTTCCCACCACCACGGATCCCAGTATCCCTCCACCCTCCACCCCCCCGCCCCGCCCCTGCCTCTGTGGCAGGGCATTCCCTTTTGTTCTCTCTCGCCTTTTGGGTGTTGTGGTTTGCAAAAAGAGGCATTGAGTGACAATCATGTTTGGTCTATAGTATACTTTCAGCATGCTTCTCCTGTCCTGGGAGAATCCTCCCAGCACCCTTTATTTGGTGCTCCCTTCTCTATCTGAGCTGCCCCAAAAGGGGAATCTTCTCAAAACAACTTCAGAGTACAGTCATTGAGTGAAGATTTCCCCGGATGATCTGAATGCATGGCTCTGGAACTGTCTACTTGAATTCTCTGAAAACTCAAGCAGACAGTGCTATCCTATCATTAAACCATGCTGGAGGGCTACTAGGTCTGGGTCTTTGCCAGAACCAAGATGAAATAGAATAAGCTCCCTTCAAATTATTCTTGGTAACTACAAGCACAGATAGTTCAATTATTGGCTTACTAACAAGTGGCTCCTCATAACATACCATTATTACTATCAAAAATTGCATTGCCTGGGGCTGGAGCAATAGCACAGTGGGTAGTGCATTTGCCTTGCACGCAGCCGACCTAGGTTCGATTCCCAGCATCCTATATGGTACCCCGAGCACCGCCAAGAGTAATTCCTGAGTGCATGCATCACTGGGTGTGACCCAAAAAGCAAAAAAAAAATTGCATTGATTACAAAATCTATCATAAAAAAAGAGTTTGGGGAATATTCATTACTAACTTAAAGATTTTAGTCCTGGACAGATCCCTAAATTCCTCCCAATTACATTGGCTGTTACCATGAAAATAAGTTACAACTGTGACCATCAATCACCTTGGGTTTTTCTTGGAAAAGAACTGGACTAATACAATTAGCTCTTAAAAATCAAGTATTTGTAATTAATTTTAAGTCACATGTGAAAATTTCTTGGGACAATGATGTATTAAATAGGAATGGATCATATAACAATTATTATCACATAGTAAGGCAGAGGAAGGGATAGAAAAATAACCATGACTATTTCCAGGTAACTGAGAATGACTTATTTATTTAGAGTAGTAAACTGCCAGACTTGATTTAAAAAAAAAAAGACTAGTCAACCTGGAAGTCTCCATTTTCTTCTCACTGTTAGCTGTCAGTCAGTTCATCTTCCACATCATCAATTATACAAATTTTAAATACCTTCAAATAATCAATTATATTGTTGATTCTTTCCATGCTTAAACAATATGTTTCTCAATAGTATTTAAATGTTAGCTCTTTTCATTATCTTGGATTACCACTACTTTATTTTCAAAGCACTTAATAAAACTATATCTTAATCCCATGTGATAAAAATATACACAGCACAAAATTGACTATCATCACCATTTTTAAGTATACTGTCCAGTGATATATATATATATATTCATTAAGTAATAACTCCCTATTGCCTAGTCTCTGGAAACTACTTTTATATCCTCTGTGTCTGAATTTGACAGCATTATGTACCTCATCTAAGTGCTACTGTATTAAATGGTATTCATCTTTTGGCGAATAGCTTATGTTCTCTTAGCATACTTTTCACTTAGCACAATGTCTTCAAAGTTTACCATATTGCAGCACATGTCATACTTTTATTCTCTTTAAAGTTCAAATAATACAAATTATCACAGCGATAATACAGTGTGTATGACACTCGCCTTATAAGCGGCTAACCTAGATTTGATCCCCAGAACCCAATATGGTCCCCCGGGGCCATCAAGAGTGATGCCTGAGCACAGAGCCAGGAGTAAACCCTGAGTACAGTCAGGTGTGCTTCCCCAAAATAATAATTAATAGTTATATGATATTCCATTGCCTACATATATTCTGTTCTGTTTATCCACTCATCTGTTGATTGATTTTACATTTTAGCTGCTGTGGAACTGTTGCTATAAATACAAAAAAGGGCATATAAATATACATCAAAATCTTCAGAAATGTCATAGAATTTTAAAAACCTGATTGGTTGTTGGGTCTGAAAAACATATACTGAATAATAAAGAATAACTTTCCAGGTGTTCAGCTAAACAACTGACTTGAGGAACCATTGTTATAGTCAAGGTGACTATGCTTACATTTATTTAAAGATGTAAAGAACTTTCTAGATAAAATTTATAATTTTAAGATTACATAAAATTCTAAAGTTAGCAAAACTCAGAACAGTTTTTTGAGGATTAGTTCTTTTTATTCTCTATTCCTATCAACTTACAGTATAAGGTATAGTTTATTTTAATCCTAAACACATTTCTTAATATTTATAAAGAAAGCTCTAGAGCTATACACTCTATTTCTTTCTTTTGGTTTTGGGACCACAAAACCAAAATAAATAAATAGAGATAAAGTTTAAAGAACTTTGTAATACTTTTTTAGCATCAGGTGCAAAGATATTAATTTAAGATGTTAAATATTAATAATGGAATTGACTAAGATTTATACATTTTGGCTGATTTTATGCTGTTAGGTGGCAATACAAAGTTCTTTAAATGAAATAAATTTTGACCCCACCACATAAACTTTGGATTATAATTTGTTCTTACATGCCAAATTGTATCCTATTGATCATTATATTCGTTCATATGTTATTTGGAACACACTGATGAGGCAAAAGAAAATAAACCTCTTTTGAGACAACCAGTTTTCTCACCTGTGGGGTGACTGTGACTGTGACTGTGACTGTGACTAGTGACCATACTCATGGTTGTGGTGATCTGGCTCTCTTCTTGAGTCTGAGTTGTGCCTTCCACAGTTGACTGATCTTCTATGTGCATGTCAGTTATTCTCTCTGGACTTGTTGTTACCTAGTAGAGATGAAAATGAGGTATAACAGAAACAACTATAATGTTTAAAACATCTTCTTATGTTTAAAACATAAATGAATAACAAATGGTTAGTATGCCAACTTCCTATTATCTTAAATCTTTAGAAAATGTGGGTCACTGGGTTTTAATTTTTCTCTCTCTCTTAAACTTGGATCACACTTTTTCCTGTACTATTTACTTGGCACATATGATGTATTACTACATGATTTCATGCCTTATCCAATTAGAATAATATGTAACTTTATTGAGAGATTATTATATGCCAAACCTTTTAAACATCTTCTAGGGAATCCAAAAATATATTATTAAGTAGGTATTATAGTATTATAGAGCAAGGTATAGAACAAGATTAACTAATCTCTCTTGCTCAAATTCACAGTCAACAAGCAAGACTTGCAAGTGAGCAAGAGTGAGAGAAATGGAATTATCATAATATCCAGCAATTCAATATTTGGGCTTATGTCCAAAACTATTGAAAGCAGAATCGGAAAGGAATATTTGCACATCCATGTTTATATCTACATTACTCATAATAACCAAGAGATGGAAACAACCCAAACCACATATTACAGAGGAATGAATATGGTATATATACAAAATGGAATATTACTTGGTCTTTTTGAAAAAAAGAAAGAAGGTAATTCTGCAATATACTACTTGAGGACATTACAATCATCAGGAGACATAACTGTAATATAGTAGATTCCATCAGATAAGATACTTAGAGTGGTCAGTATTATGGAGATAGAAAGAATAACGATAGTGCACAGGCACTGGAGGAAGAAGGAAACCTTAAGCTGTTTAATAGTACCATGCTTTGGATTTGCAAGATTAAAAATATCCGGAGACCAGTTCTACAAGGGGAATAACCGAACAGCACTGAACTATACACTTACAACAGTAAATTTCAGGGCTGAGAAAATAGTTCAAAGGGCCCTAGTGTATGTTCATGTCAAATATGCACAAGATGCCAAATTGTATCTCAGGCAGTATACATCACCTCCACCCCCACCCCAGCACCTATAGCCCTGGTGACCCAGAATAATTCTGAATCCAGGCACTGAAGCATCCTCCAGCAGAAAATTGCTGGGAAAAGCCTCCAGTGGCCCTGAACTGTGATTTGGAGTCAACTCCCAAAATGACACAGTGCTTGTTATATTTTAACACAATAAAATATGCTAATGAGTACTACTATGCCCTTAAGTTTCTAGACTGTGGGGATTTTAAATGTGAGTATTATGAATTTCTTCTCCTCTTGAAGTTTATGTTTGGGAAGGGTGGAAAGCTGTGAATATTCAATAAATAAAGCAAAAATGTAAGTTTAGATAACCTTGAGTGCTTTGGAGAGAATTAAGTTAGGATCAGGGGTTGGTAAAATATTGTAGAAGTCAAATGACAAATATTTTCAGCATTAGAGACCATTGAGTTCTGTTGCAACACACTACTCTACTCTAAGAAAGTATGAAAGCACAGACAAGCCTCATAGACAATTCTCAGTGGAATGGATATTGCCATGTTCCAATAAAACATAATTTATAGGATCAGGGATGTGTGACTCAGTGGTGAAGTGGATGTCTCACATGTGTGAGGCTCTGGAGTCAATTCCCAGAACAAGACATGAAAACCCAAGCAAAAATAACTTAATTTACAAAAATAGGCAGGGAGGTCAAATCTAGTAACAGTTTGTTCACCTCTGGACTAGAGAGTAATTTGAACATGGAAATGGTGGTAATGAGGGTGGTATGACTGTAAGACTCAGAGATAACATTTGAATTTGAGAATCCTAGAATTTGAATGTGAAAATGCTTAAATTTGATAAGTCAGCTGTGGGAAGCTCTGGGGAGTGTATGAAACAAAAGAAAAAAATGTCTAAGTGGGAACATGAGCCCAGGAGTCAGAAAGACTAACATGACTAAAATAAAGGGATAGGGATTGAGATGCAAGGGGGTCAAATAGGAAGGTCTGTTCCAGGTCACTAACTAAAGGATAAGCTTCTCTGAGGTGGACAGTATGGTTTATATATGGTTTATTCCTCAATGTTTCCCAGTGCCTCCCACTTAATGTGCCTAATGCTGCCTAAGGTCAGTGCTGGAGACACTCATGGATTGATTAAAAGTCCATGCAATGAGGAATGTGTCCATTGAGATTCTTACTTACCCTATACCAGTGTTGTCTGTGGATGAGACCCTAATCTATGTTTATGAATTTATATAAGACAGGAACAGAAAAAGACACATTAAAATTTTTATAGCACGGATAGTGCTACAGTGTCTAGGTTTTTATTGTATTGATCTGCTATAGCAGATCAGACAGTTAAAAACCTACCTCCTCATCAGTTGGAGAGCCCTGGTACATGTTCTCAAATCATCTGTGATCACCATACTAGCTACCTGCTAAGTGGATTAAATTAAGTGGTTTCTGTTGCAGGCTATATGAGAATCCCTCTTTTTTATTTCTTTTTTCTGGCTTTTGGGTCACACTGGGAAATGCTCAGGAGTTACTTCCGGCTCTGTGTTTGGGGCTCTATGTGGTATCCACTAGGGATTCGACTCATACTTCCTGCACGTGAAGCATGCACTTTAGTACATTGAGCTATCTCCCTGATTCTGCTCAATTTCTTTGTACGGTGACTCATACAGTCACCATATATATGAAATTCACTATGTCTCACTGTCTATTATTCATCAGTGTATCTATCTTCTCCTGAAATATGATGACATGCTTCCAGACTGAATTTTAGATAAGGCTTCCTGGGACACTCACCAGACTGTGTAAGCTCGTAGAGCCATTGGGCTCTTCAGTGACCCCTGGTGTCACATCGTTATCTTCTGCACCTGTTGTCTCCATGCCATCTTCAATACCTGTGGTAACAATGTGATCCTCTGGATGGGCTGTGGGGGCTGAAAAAGAAAGACTGAGTCAGGACTTGTACAAACCATTCTCCTTGCTGTACCTTTGGCACATCAATGGCCTTCTCCACTGGGGGTGGGTGGGTAAGGGAATGGAAACTAGAAATACAAAAAGAATAAAGCATCCACCCCTTTCTTCAAGCACAACTGATTTGGGCTGGATGGAACATTTACACCCTCCTTTTAAATAATCAGTCATATTTTCATTGGAGCCATTTCATATGACAAATTGAAGTCAGTAAAATACCATCTAGATCTGGAACAACTCTAAATTAACGTCACCTGGAATGATTTTGGAAAATACTCATTTGCAGAATTTATATAAATAAATCTTTAAATCATAATGCCTAAAAGCAGAGTCACTGTCTTTTAAAAAAAAATCAAGATTTTTCTTTTTGATTTATTTATTTATTTATTTTGGCCAAAGGAAGGGCAGAGACCACACTTGGCAGTGCTCAGGCCTTACTCCTGACTCTGTGCTCAGGGATTACTCCTGGTTGAGCTTGGGGACCATAGGTAGTATCAGGCATCAAACTTGGGTTGACCACAAAGTAAGAAAAGCATCCTACATTTTTTTAAAGTTGTTCACAAAAATTTATTACATTCAACATTCCAACACCAATCTCACCACCATTACACCATCCCACCACCATTATTTTGAATTTTCCCAACCACTATCCAAGCCTGTTCCAATAGCAGTCCCTAAATAATTGATTGTGCATTACTTCTTATGAATAATTCACTAAAAGTGATCAAAAAAGGTTTTCTTAAAAGAAAGTGTGTGGAGGTCTCACCCGGGAGCCATTAAACCTCTGTCTAAGAGATTTCTAACATATTGTTACAGGTTGAGCCTGTGTGCTACAATTTTTTAATTGAGATTGGTTGCCTTCTAACTTTACATCCCATCCAATGTAGTGTGCTACTACTGTTACATCAGTGGTATAGAATATGAGATGTTGCATTCTCCAGGAATTCTAAAAATTTAAGTAAGGTGATACAACTGGAGTTAAATTTTTAACTGGATGATGACTTTTGGTTCTGGAGACATCTCTGCAGCTTGTTGATCTCTTCTGAGATTTACTTGTGAGTCTTTGGATCTTGGCTAGTTAATGAGCTTATATGGTGCCAAAGGCAGTTCCTGGGCATGACTCCAGGATCCCTAAGAACTGAGGGATGCAGGGACGTTGCCCATCCTCAGATCTGTGAGAGCCTGGAGATTTCAGTCACAAAACCAAACATCCTACTTTTTGTGCTGTCTTTCTGGCCCCAAGACCTCTATTTATTTAATTTTGAAACTGAAACATATGTACATGATTAAAACCACTAGTTGTGACCAGATAATAGAATTCAAGTTCTCATTTTTGAGTTGAGTGGGTTCGTGTCTTCAAGGATAATATTCAAGAGAATCATTGAGAGATTTATAAATGAGACCCCACTCTCCTGTTCCTGGCTTTCCCCCTTTAATGTTGGCTGAGTTAGACTGTTGTGCCAATGACTTTCAGAGGAATAGCAAATGGGTGGAGGGTGATAACAGACTGAATTCAACAACTGGGATAGAACAGATTATAGCCCTTTCTTCTTCAACCTCTGTTGTTATCTGAAACAAGCATGACCAAGCCCATACATCATCTCAACTCATGAAAAATAGCCCTTTTCACAATTTTAAAATCTGACTCATTGGCCACATGCTTCCTTCCCAAACTCAAGAGCAGTCCTGAAATTCCATGATCAAATACAGTTGCAAAATATAGCATCCCAGAAGCAAGAGGGAGTGAGGTGCTTGGACACACCTTAGTGAAACTCAGAGCAGAGATTTATATTTCAGCAATGCTCAACTGAGCAAACCCGTCCTTGCTTTCATTATTTTATCTTTTCCTAGGCTTAGGCCAGTCAAAGGCTTAGCTAATAAATATTTAATTAAAACTTCTTTGCTTATGCCTAGAGGGAGAAAAACCTCTAGAATAAATTCACAGGTCTTATGAGCATTGTCTTTGTATCTGGAGTCCTAATCCACTGCTGCCGATCAATAGCTTTGGGGGATCTTTGAAGCATATGCATTTATTCTTTAGCTGGGGTGAAAAGAGACTGTCATAGTTAGTAATCAAATACCATAGTGCCTGCAAATGATTTTGTCTCTCCTCCTGGCCATTTGCTGGCCTGGAGGGTGTGTTCAGCTCTCACAAGGATTTATAACTCCATAGTATAGACAAAAGTTGAATGCATTGATCTAGTTCAAAGAGAAAAAAAAATCCTTTCGCTAGAGAGGTAATGCTTATTTTTTTTAAAATAAGAAAAGAAAATAAACTAAGTATCCCAGTTTCCTTTTCTCCTCTTCTGGATTGAACATAGTTAACAAATCATCAGTGAAGCAAACACTTTTCTGGAGTGGTTTAGAAAATTGCTTACTGAGTATCACCCTTAACTTTAAGAAACAAAACTACCCTGGCTTTAAGAAAAAAGAAATATCCAGTACTGAATGAAGGAGATTTGAATTCTTTCATAGAAAGTTCAGTTCATTGAAAGCGTAACTTGATAAAAATTCCTCCTTGTTCTTTTCTGCTCTTGGCCCACAGAGCTAAGTACTAAAATCGCCCTGAATAGACAAAGGGTGTTTTATGAATGACATTCATGATTAAGATGCATGTCTTTTGTCTTAATGTCCTGGCTTTCTTTTTACTTCATGGGAAAGTTGATCTTTAACAAGAGGTCTTCAATTGTCCCTCTTATTATTTTGGCAGAAGGCTTTCCCCAGTGAAGACTTCCTAGGAGCCCAGCTGCCGAGTTTCCAGCCAGCATTTTACATCTTTTGCCACTGAATGGTGAAATTCAAATCATGTATTGATGCCTTTGCTCTCCAATACTTATTATTCCCCCTAAAATGGTTGTGCCTGCGTGCACGTGCACACACACACACACAGACACACACACACGCAAACACACACACTCTCTCTCTCTCATCTGCTTAAATAAGTACATAGTGATGAGCCCACAATAATAATGCCTGTTCTGAATCAGTGTGCCCTCAGGCTCACATGAACACCTTTTCCTGCCACACCCAAACAGCCTCACCCTGCTTATGGTCAGAACCAATGGAAGTTTCCAAATATATCAACAACTCATGCATTTACTTGGAAGATTTTTTTGTGTGTGTGTCATTCTTAAAAAAAAAAGACTAAAATTTATGTTACCTATGAGAAGACAAGGTGCTACATCAATTTAATGCTTTTAAGATTGAGAACAAATAACTGAGGAGATATTTATTTAGATGAATGTGCTAGTTCTGAAGTGCTTTTATCGCTGCATTAAGTCCTAACATCATTAAAAACATTATTCTAGTTTATATGCACTTATGGGATGTTATTTTTTGACATATTTTCTAGAATTGAGATGCAAAAAAAATCACAGTTATTGTAACTGTTTTGTAGTACATATACATTCTTGATAAAAATCTTCTGAACAAGTCTTTCTTCTGTTGGTTTTATTTACATTCTTTGTCTGGTAAGCTATTACAACTGTTTGTAGACCATCCCAGATGATATTCTTTTGTGACCATTTTTATCATAATATTCAACTTTTTATAGTTTTATAACTACTCTCTATAACTTAAAGATATATTCTTTGGAATAGACATCGCAAACATTTTTTTTTACGTGTGGTGAACTATACTATTTAAGTTGTTTTGTATTTTTGAAGTCATACTTACCAAACATAGCTCAATAAATGTTTGTATTCCTTGATATTTTATGATGGTTTTCTTCTACGACAGTAGTATTTCTATTTATCCTGTTTATTTTGAAGTATTATGCAAAATGAAAATACAATTTGGTATTCCCCCAAAGATAAGGAGGTTGTTTCAATAAATTCTCTTCTCTCCACTGTTTCAAAACTAGCTCTTATCAAGACAAATGTCTTCCTTAAGTCTGGGTCATGGGGGAATACTGTAAAGACCTGGGCACTGCTGACTGCCCACCCCACAGCACTCTGTTCACCTCAGCCTCTTTCTGGAATAGATCCTCTAAATCTACACTCTTTTCAGCATTAGTTCCCTTTTCTGCCATGGATCAGCTGACCTCTGATAAGTTAACTCAGGACTAAAAAGGTTACTAGGTAAAAATGGAGTGGAAGATCAGGGAGATAGTGCAGTGAACTGAGCACACACTTTGCATGCAGGAGACACAGGTTCAATCCCCAGAACCTGGACACCATCAGGAGCATCCCCCAAGCACAGATCAGAGTAGCCCCTGGGCAGTGCTGAGTCTGTGTGTGTGTGTGTGTGTGTGTGAGAGAGAGAGAGAGAGAGAGAGAGAGAGAGAGAGAGAGAGAGAGAGAGAGAAACCTAAAGAAAACAGGATATGGAGAGAAACAGAGAGAGAGAGGGAGAGAGAGGGAGAGAGAGGGAGAGAGAGAGAGAGAGAGAGAGAGAGAGAGAGAGAGAGAGAGAGAGAGAAGCGTGCTACTCTGAAGGAAATTCACAGAGGTCTTTCCAAGTTTTAGATTCTACTTAGCAAAAAGGTGACATTTGCTCATCAATGAAGGTTTTACCTGGTGTCTTCTGCCCGACTTACTGGAAAACAGCTCCACAGGTAGGTTTCACTGGCATAACTGTTCTCAGTCACTTATCAGATGAGAAAAAGGAGGCTGGCAAAGGTCTCTCCTTGACCAAACTTAGGTAGGCTGTTTTTGTTTTCATTTTTTAAAGTAAAATAGTTTTATTAAGAGAAAGGTAGGCTGTTTTGACCTTTTTCCTCTTTTGGTTTCTGGGCCATACCTGGTGGTTCTGAGGTCCTGACTCAGTGCTTTGGGATCATCCTAGAGCAGCTCAGGGGACCATATATAGGGTGCTGGGCATCAAATCCAGATCAGTAATGTGTAAGGCCAGCATCCTACCCAGTGTACGATCACTCTGGCCCCATGTTTTGAACCCCTTCTCAACAAGGCCATATCCTTGAACTTCTAAGTCCACGCCCACAGTGAACAGTTTCTGCAAAATT